TACAAGATTATGAGATGCATTATTTGAATGCTTGGCCAAAGAGATGTGTCTTTAATCTAGATTTAAACAGAGAGCGTGTGTATGAACCCCGAATGTTATCAGGAAGGCTATTCCAGAGTTTTACTGCTAGAGTCTAAACACTTATAGATAAGAAAAACAATTAACGAGAGCGTCTGAACTCTTCTAAACTTTTATTATCTGTCACACCAAAGAGTGAACTCCTCCAAAAACCTATGAAACTCTAGTACTCAAATGCGCATGACCCTTGCCCATCTACGGCAAGCCCAGAGGGGAAAAATGCATTACACACACATATAACGAGTGCATATAACGAGCACATCCAGACTTAGTGCAACATAACAGAATCAAATAAAGTCTGTTACATAAAAAAAAATAAAAATAATGAATAAAAAAAACAGCCTTAATCTACTTTATAACCTAGTAGAAAATAAGTTGTAATTCTAATCGAAAGCGATACTGTCAATGTTTATTGTAACTGTAACACAGCTGTTTTAAAGTAGCCTGTTGTATAAATTGCTATTTAAATATGCTTAAACGTGACGTGACTTTACTGGAGTGCCGATTGCAGAGCTGGTGCAAACATATCCATATCATTATAATGATCAGATGTTTTCTTGCCGCTTTCTCATCGCTGTCATTTTATGTGTTTATTTTGTTATCAAGAGGAAAGCTCGCAGCATATAATTACATATTCGTCTAAACTCCGCTCACCACAGCGTGGACGGCGCTGGGATGTTCGCTAACTAGCGCTGGTCACGTATTTTAAACTTCTTTTTACCCCTAAACGAAGAATGAAAAAGAACTACACACAATGCAGATGCACTGTCAGACATGCAAGCTGTGTCCCAAACTGAACTGCACAGACTCCGAAGTTGTCCCAATTCAGAATGCACCCTCCGAAGACCGCATTCCAAGGCCGATTGACGACGCAGATGACGACGGTTTTTATATTCAAAGAACACAACTCAAGGTGAGAGTTCTGTGGGGGAAATCACATTGAAATGTAAGTATTGTGTTTTTATTTACTCAAATACCTACCAAAAGTGTTAAAAGCCAGGTTTTTTTTTTTTACACAAAGCCCACAAACAATAAGAGAACCACTATATAAGGCAATAGTCTTTCCCTTTGTTGTGTTTTTGTAGTGCTGTCATTCAAGATATGTCTACAAATGTTTTAACCAAACTTTAGCACTTAAGTATTTTGTATGCCTGTCCTGCTGTGTCATATTTTCTAATGTTAATATTGCAAACCTGTCTTTATATTTTTCATAAGTGTTCATTTTCTCTTGTTTTTGTACTATTCTGGAGAAAATGAGCCTGCTAGGGAAAGCCAAAAAAAATACAAAGTAGGCAAGTTCATACACATGTTTTTGCTGAAATTCATTGTGATGTTGTTGTTAATAGGCATGGACTGTTTTCTCTTCTTGAGAGAATGCTTAACAAATACATTATTTATTAGCCATTCTCTATTAGGCAAGAGAAAGCAGTGGAAAAAAATGGGTACATTACAGTTTTTCAATATCTTTTTTTTAAATGTCACATTGTCAATGAAACAACCTTATTAAATTAATAAAATCAATAAGTTGTATAGATTATTCATTTTTGTAATGTAATTTGTGTAAATGAGCCTGAGTACTTTCTGTACATTTTATACTTTTGTTTTGCATATTCACATGTGTAAATAAAAGAGAAGTAATTATGTACATTGTTAATTTTTTTTAATGCAGCTTATAATTTTTTCACAAAACATTCTTCTAAAGGTTTATTTTTTTTGTCCTGTAAATATTTTTTTTTACATATTTAAACAAATTGTTCTATACATTACTGAAAGTACTTTTTACAACTATTTACAACATAGTTTAGGTTTAACATCAGAAAAAAACAACATCAGTTTTGAGCCCAGCCCTGCCTCCATGTGTTCTGGGGTCTTCAAAAGGTAAATCTCTTGGTGTATGGCCAGCACCTCCTCAGCGACTCGGAGGATAATGCAGTGACAGTGGAAGGAGCGAGCACTAAGTACCAACTCTACCATAGCCATGGGAGTTGCCCCTGGGACGTTAAGATGGCTGTCAGTGACATTATCCCCTACGGTCAAAGGCCTAGGCTACATACCCCAAAAATTTAGGGGGGGGGATCTTAGGGCCAGAACTCCTGGGCTCGGGGTAGAGCTCAAGGCTTGGAATCAGGAGTTGATTTCTTTAAGAGGATACGACCAAGTGCCTAGAATCATACTAGGTCTTGGCCTGTCACCCAGGGGGCTACCGCTTGCTCTGCATGAGCTTGCTGAAGGAACTGTCTCAACAGACCCCTAGTAGCAACACCCTGTTAAAGTAGGTATCCTGAGGATACATAGGTGGAGTGGTGCCCAAGGTGGAACCGAAGCTTTAACCAACTCAAGAAAGGGCACGAAGCCGCCGCGCGTAGCCCTTACCATACAGGATTTTAGAAAGAATGCAAAGTACTAGTGTGCGAACTTACCACAGTGTGGATTTTAAAAAGTGCACAAGGACTCCGCATGCACACTTACCATAACATGGATTTTAAAGATACCATTCTAAGGTGCTCTCGTGGCACTCTGAAAGAGCAGCCCATAGGTGGAAATGGTGCATCCCAAGAAAAATATGTTTGCGAAGTCACCAACTCAATCTATGGTATAATGCTGGAATGGCTAGCAGAAAGTTACCTAGCTGAGGGAGCATAACACCCAGCTCTCAGCCGAGAGGGGAGCTCGACCTACAACATGTTTGTTAAAATCTAAAGGGTAAGCGTACTGCAGGCTTAGCCAAAAACTCAGCGCATCAGGGAGGCAGGAAGGGCCTAGTTCGCCTGCTGTTGCTGGTTCCAGGTGCTCTGGGAAAACAGAGAACTCAACTCTACATGTGAGAGGAGAACTCTGAATTCAGAAAAGGCACACTAGTTGAGTGGAGCCCAAGGCGAGTACCGGGGTCTAAGCCAACTCAGAGAAAGGGAACGAGGCTAATAACGCGTAACCCTTACCATACAGGATTTTAGAAAATGCACAGAGTCTTAGCGTGCACACTTACCAGCATGTAGGGTCCCTTATAACCAGACCCGATAGAATCTGAAGAAATAGCGGGACCCAATAACCAGTCATGCGTATAGAGCTTACTGCTCCTTAGAGCAGAAGCACAAAGGAGGGGTTTCCACAGAAACACAAATCCCTCTTACCTCAGGAAATGCAGTGTAATCCAGCCCACTCCACTGAGGGGTGACTACTGGTCCAACCATAAGGGCAGTGAGACAGTGAGGACCCACGGGCCCGACCGTCTGTGGAGCATTGAGCTCCTCAACGCGTCAGCGAGAGGAGCTCTTGCTCAGAGAACCTGCATGAAGGTTAAGGAACGATTAAAGTCTCAGGAGATCTCTCAGGGTGAGAAATGAGTAGTTCGCACCTGGCCAGGGGATAGGAAGCATGTGGCGAAGCATGTACTCAGAAGAGTACTAGACCACGAGAAGGACCCACAGGTCCTGAAGTTGCAGCATTATACTAGGAGACCTGATGCTGGGAGATTTCCTCAGAAGCCCCTGGAACCAGAACCGATGAGTGAACCATCACTGTAATCGGTCAACAGCAGGAGGTCCTGACTTAGCAGGTGGGTCAAACCTAAAGTCAGAAAAACAGAACAGGTCCGAGTAGCGCTGCAGAGAAAGGCTAGCATCAATACTCAAGAACTAGTAGTAGAGTAGATAAAAATGGATCATATTCACAAACCATGGCTCCCGCGCGTGACTCAGGCTCATGATATAGGCTGGAGGCTAAGTCCGAAGCCTGGACCCTCGTGGAATGAAGGATATTAAGGCAGCCGAGCACGTCTTGGCCTCCTTAAACCTCACGACCACCGTCTCGACGGAAGTGCCGAAAAGCTCAGAAGGGGAAACCGGCGCATCAAGAAGAAAGCCCTTTTCTTTCAACCCGATAACCACCAGACTGACCCACAGATGTCTCTCCATAACCACCATGGCTGCCATTCTGCCAATGGCAGTAGCGGCCTGCTTAGCGGCACGGAGAGCAAGATCCGTGGTGCAACACAACTCAGCCACCTCATCAGGGGATAGACCCTGCCTTGTGTGGGCCTGCTTAGTGGCACGGAGAGCAAGATCCGCGGTGCGACGCAACTCAGCCACCTCATCAGGAGATAGACCCTGCCTTTATCCAGGTCTTTCAGCAGATCAGCCTGAAGCACCACCATGGTGTGCAACAAGACTGCAGCCTGACCTGCCTTCTCTGACCTTAAGAGAAAATGTCTCCCCCATGGAGAGATAGCAGGCCAGCATCTCTTCAACAGGCAGCATCTTCTCATAAGCATTCTCACGCATCCCCTCGATGTTGGCATAAATAGTATGCTGGAATCTGTGGATGCGGGACGAGAATGGATTTTTCTTTTTCAAGCCTGAGTGTAGTATAATGTGATTATCTGAGAAGGACATGATATAAACCATCTGTCCAATAACTGCAGACAGATCCACACTATACATTTCCTATATAAACAAAAGGAAATTACTGATAGGGAGAAATTTCACGTCAGGTCCTTTCCATGTTCTCACCGCGACGCAACACGCAGCATGCATTCAGCTCCCGCGGGAGCTAAACACACTCCGCCCAACTGCTAGATTACCTCGGAAATCAAGCGCGAACGAAAACTGCTGCCACGAATGCATCACTATACCCGCGAGAGGCGAACACACTCATGCAAACGCTATCTACAAACTCGGGTAAATGGTGAAATACTCACATCCCCTCAGTAGTCCGGCAAATGCATCACAATGAGCACAAGCC